AACAATCATTGACACTACTAACATAACCAATCAGATTGGCTCGCACAACGCAGTGGTGTGGGCGCCGCCCTTGCCGGAATGGACCAAACCCAGCCCGGCGATGGATCCGGATGGGCCGATGGTGTCTCTATGTGGGGACCTGAGCTGTCCCGGTCCGTCCTCAACGGATCGGTCCCAATCGACCGCCTCAACGATGCTGTAACGCGTATAGTTGCAGCATGGTACCAGCTTGGACAGGACACCAACTACCCAGATTTGTCCTTCAGCTCATGGAGTAGCTCGGATTATGACGTGCAGTATAAGGGTTCCAACTCGGGAGCAAGTGTGTTGGTGAATAGCCATATCAATGTGCAGGCAGACCATGCGGATATTGCGAGAGCGGTAGCCAGGGATGCGATTACATTGTTGAAGAATGAAGGCTCGGTACTCCCGCTGAAGAGCAGCGATGTTATCAGGGTTTTTGGCAGTGATGCCGGTCCGAACCCGAGTGGTCCTAATGGATGCGTTGATCGCGGTTGCAACCAAGGAGTTCTAGGCATGGGCTGGGGTGTATGTCTCCCCCAAGACCTTTGATATTGATTTTCCTACTAACCGATCATTGGCACTTCCTAGTCAGGTACTGCAGACTACCCATACCTCAGCACCCCCATTGATGCCATTACAGCCCGCGCCTCAAACACGCAATCAATCCTTACAGATGCCGTTACCAGTGCCATCACCACCATGGCCAGCACCGCCAACGCCAAGTGTCTCGTCTTCATCAGTTCCGACTCTGGCGAGGGCTACATCACCGTTGAAAACAATGCCGGTGACCGTAATGACCTCTTTTCCTGGCACAACGGCGACGCTCTCGTCGTCGCTGTTGCTAATGTGTGCCCCAACACAATTGTAGTAATCCACTCTGTAGGACCTATCATCATGGAGAAGTGGGCAGACCTTGCAAGCGTCAAGGCCATCGTTCTCGCACATCTTCCAGGCCAGGAGGCTGGTAATGCGCTTGCAGACGTACTCTTCGGTGACGTCTCCCCGTCTGGAAAGCTCCCGTACACCGTTGGGAAACAGGCGTCCGACTGGGGCTCATCGGTTGCCATTGTGACCAGTGGTAGCGGTGCTATCCCCTCAACCTTCACCGAGGGGCTGTACATCGACTACAAGTATTTCGACAAGAATAACATCACCCCCCGCTACGCGTTTGGTTTCGGTCTTTCCTACACTACCTTCGCTTTCAGCGACCTCAAGATCTCCGCAGTGGGCACGCCGACTGAGCTCCCGCCCGCCAGGGCCGCAAAGCTCGCGGTCCCAACCTACGCCACCACTATCCCCGCTGCCACTGAGGTTTCATGGCCTGCCGCAATCACCTCAAGGATTAGCAAGTACGTGTACCCTTACCTCGACTCGCCCACAACCATCACAACCGGAACCTACCCATACCCCACCGGCTACACCACCACCCCGCAGCCCGCTCCCGCAGCAGGAGGTGCCCAGGGTGGTAACCCCGCTCTCTGGGATGTGATGTACACCGCGAGTGTCACAATCACCAACACTGGCTCCGTCAAAGCCAAGGAGGTCGCACAGCTGTATGTGGAATTCCCGGCCAATACCGGCTTCGATACGCCCGTGAGACAGCTCCGTGGCTTCAGCAAGGTTGAGATCGCGCCGGGAGCATCTGCTACTGTCACGTTCGACATCACCAGGAAGGATATCAGCGTGTGGGATGTAGTGAGGCAGAACTGGGTCATTCCAGCTGCGGGCACTGGGGGCTACACGTTCCATGTCGGAAACAGCTCTAGGAATCTGCCGTTGAAGTGTAACACTGTGTCTGGGTGCTCTGCGTCTTCTTCTACGTCTTCGTCTACTCCAACAGCTACGACTTCGGTGGTTGGCTCGAGTACTACGAGTGCGGTGCTGTCGACTTCGAGGACTACGACGACGAGTAGTACGGCGGCGGCTACTACTACAGCGACGACTAGCGGGTGTACAGCGGTGGCGAAGTATGGACAGTGTGGAGGAGTAACATTCACCGGGTGCACGAGCTGTGTGAGTGGATCGACTTGTAATAAGTTGAATGACTACTACAGTCAGTGCGTCTAGACTCTTATGGGTTGGGGGGTTGGGATTTAGAGAAGTTGTGTAAATAAAAATATATATATGTCTTTTTTCTCTGTGAAAATTGTATGGTGGCGGGTTGGCGCGTCATGAGTGAGCACTCGATTCGCGGAGACTAGAAGTATGCTCCAGAAACCGCGAGCCTTAGAGCAGAAAAAACAGGTCTCCAAGTTCTCTTCACTCCCTAACAAACGGGGGGTGAGTAGTGTTTACCGAGGTGAAGCGCCTCTCTCTTGTATCGTGATGACGCTAGTTAATAGTGAGTATTAAAGGTCAAGCACACACCTGAACATGAACACTGTTTCAATTTGTTTGCGCCCTGCTCTCTAGCGGCACCACCCCGAAAAAAACCCAGACCATATGTTCTAAAGTTAGAACTCAATATCTCCATATAATGAATAGAGCACTTCACCAGAGTAAACACTCACCGTGCTGCTTTGCCTAGAAACATTGTAGATTCCGAGTGATATGCTATGATTGTTATCCAAAGTTAGACTGCCTGATTAATTTAGCCAGTACGTACTCTTTAGGGTTACATGTAGTATATATAGTTCTGACAGCTAAGATAGGTCCCGTCACTACTAAGCGCGTAATCCTACTCTCTGACAGCATATTCCAGGTCGGTACGCGGTGTACACGGCATAGTGGGCAATCGCCGCCGCACAAACAAATTGGACTGGTGCTCCCCAGGGATGATGCGAGGCTACATATGAATATGTACTCAAGTGAAGCGAGTCTCTAATACCATATAAAATTCTGGAAGGAGGTTAAACGCACTACCAACCATCATCAAACATTACTAGAGAGGTTAGAATGAGTGATAAGCCATGATGCAAAATTTATATACTTTGTGAATGGCTCCCTTCAAAGATGGAACGAGAGGACTGCTATCATACCAGAAAAGACATACCAAATATTAAGATCGATATCTCACTTTAGTGGTAGAATATAATAGGAATGGTCCACTACTCCGACCAAAAAACCCCCCAAAACGAATCCAGCTTCACGACAACCCCGAAACCTCCCTATAGACCGCGTATGCGGCGTCTGCTCGGTCATGATCCCCTCAAAACTCGTGCCATAAATCCCCGTCAATTCAGTTTCATTTCGACTCCTCAAGCTGCTATATCGACGTCTGTGGAACCGAAATATATCTGATTACTATTCCTCCTCCGCAGGAGCACGGTCGCAATAAGACAGGCCTTTAATTTGCTTTTGTTCCGATTGTACTTATGTCACTTTCATAACTCGTTCTAAAATTAGTTTATTGTACCACGATGGATATACACCGGGTTCATAGATAATCACTCGGTTGATAACCGCGCCGCTTGTGTTACGTACCCCAGGTGATCCATGCAACGTTTGCCGCTAGCGCCACAGATGTGCAGAGTGTGGCCCGGGGAGAGCCGAGAAGGATTATGGGTGAAGGCAATGCGATGGGGTTGGATCTTTTGCCATCTGTATAAAGATTCCGGAATACGTAATGTATCCCAGTTGACACTGTCCTAGACTGGTATTTGTTCATGCTGTCCGCCGCCCATTACCGAAGGCCGGCCATAAGTCGACCGCGACACCCGAGCTTGGTGATGAATTGTATTCATTCTATTGATTTTTTCAGCTCGCGATTGCTCTTCAATTGATCAATTGAGCTATTGCTTGAAGTTGGCTCCGGTGGCGGTTTGGCCTCTCGATACCTTATGTCAGCTGGCCACGGTCTTTGGTGGCAACGTACCTGGGAATAGAGAACCTAGGCCTGGGATATCGAAAAAGACCGATGGAACCCAAATTACTAGATATTAGTTTAAGCGCCACTATCATACTGCTATTCAGCTTTCAACCAACTCTATTATTACCAGAAGAGATTGTACTAGTAATCTGTATTCATGTAGGGTAACAACCTATATCTGGGCCGAATATCGAGTGATCTTATGTGAAGACACACCCCATCGCCGATTATATACATGCCATTTATTAGCAATCAATGTTTAAACTTCAATCGAACAGAAACGTTAGCCGTGGATACTTTCTCAACGATTCTTGACCGACCGAACGCCTTTGGTGGGCCACGTTGCAATTCACCCGCTTTCGATGCCTCCGCGGGTGAATAGACAGTACAACGATGAGTCTTAATTCCAAGCCGGTTATGGATATATGTACTCAGATATTATGTGCATTCCAGACATCTGCGGGAGATCTTAGAGAAGAGTCTCTGAGATTTTGTTAAAGAGCTCAATTGATACATGTAGCTTTGGGGGGAACTTGTGTCAAATCGAGTGACTTCTTGTGACAGCAGATCTCATGATTTGTCATCACGGCCGTGCCACCGTTTGGTGATCCAAGTTGCTTCATCGCCATCTTGATCTTCCAGGGGCGATTATTACCAGGCTAAACGCCTGAATTGCTCGGTGGGAACGGGCTTCTAGTCTGCTTAATCTTCAGCTGTAGCGTGAGCCGCAATTCAGCTGTGCGGGGTAGGAAGTATCACGCCAACATGACTCGCATTGACCCCTGCACACCTGCATACTCTACGTAGAAAGTCGCAAACAAGGTGCTCTAGGGCTGCACACAGATTAGCAAAAAGCAACCAAAGTGAGCCAAACAGAGACTGAGAGAGCTGGTTGGAAGCTGAGGACTTGAAATCACACACACGTCTATCCGTTCGTTGGCCGTAGCTTGATCTGCCCTACCTGCCTGCTCATCCACCACCCACCCGTCTCTCTGGCACTGAAAAAACATTCCACCCCTCCTCCTCAACACCCCTCCTTACCTTCGCTGTCCTTCCATCTTCATCCATCCTCATCCATCTTCATAACCCCCACCCTCACCCTTCCGGATACTCTTTTCCCATCAAACTTCATCCCCACTCGAAAAGAAAACTATTATATTCTGTAATTATGGATCAAGATACTCTCATCACAAATTTCTGTGATGTTACCGGTGCGGATCCTGAGCAGGTTTGTTTACTTCTTATCCTCCCCCAGTAACCTTCCTCTAAGCTATGCTAACAATGACTGCCGATTCAAGGCTAGCCATTTCCTCGAAGCTACAAACTGGAACCTCGAAGTAATTATATCCACTCGCCTAGCTAACTTCACCTATGGAGGCCTGAAGTACTGACACAAGGCTGCAGCTAGCGACCGCCCAATTCTTCGAGAGTAATGAGGAGGAAGATCTTATGGAAACTGGTGTCTCCGCTCAGGCAGAAAGCGACGACGACGATGACGTCTATGCGCCAAGTGCTAGAGCCTCAACCTCTAAATCAAAGTAATAGGATGTTTTTTATGTGTGGTGGTCTACTTTCTGGGGGTACTAACACCTTTTTAACGTACAGGGCTGCCTCGAGATTTGCAACCTTAGGCGACCTGCGAAGTAAGAGCAACGATGATGAGGATGACTCAGAGGATGAGAAGCAGGACCTTTTCACCGGTGGTGAGAAATCGTAGGTTGAACATAGCCGAGATGCAGCCAGCTTAAACCGCGATATGAAGAAGCGAGGGATGCTAACGTTGGTGCCACAGGGGCTTGGCTGTTCAGAACCCCGGCGACCCACGCAAAGGAGGAATCATTCAAGACATTTTGAAACGTGCAGCAGAGTAAATATCCCCACTACTTGAAGCTATTGCTCGGTTTGTTGACTTCCAAAATCAGAGGTGGAAGTAGTCAGCGAGCAAACGACGAGGTTGAGCCTGGCCCATCACGTCCCCGCTTCTCCGGAACTGGGCGTACACTAGGCAGTGATGAAAGTCCTTCTATTGAGATCCCCGATCCAGCAGCTCCACGTGCTCCCCCTACCGTGCCTACCGTTACTCGAACTCTCACCTTCTGGAGGGATGGGTTTAGCGTTGAAGATGGCCCTCTTATGCGTTATGACGACCCAGCCAACCAAGAAGTCCTTCGTGCGATCCAAAACGGGCGCGCGCCATTGAGCTTGATGAATGTTGAGCCAGGCCAGCCGGCTGATGTTAATGTCTTTAGGCGTCTAGAGGAGGACTATGTTCAGCCAAAGAAGAAGCATGCGCCATTTTCTGGGCAGGGAAACAGACTTGGTTCACCCACTCCTGGTGGGGAGTCCTCTACCTCTACAGCTGCGCCTATAGTCACCCCTACTACGAGGACGGCTGCCCCAACCCCCAGCGTCAATGTCGACACTTCTCTTCCGACAACTACCCTTCAGATTCGTCTTGGCGATGGAACAAGGTTGGTTAGCAGGTTCAACCACACACACACCGTTGGCGACTTGTACAGCTTCGTCAATTCTTCAAGTCTTGAGAGCAGGAGCAGGAACTACATTTTGCAGACCACCTTCCCTAATAAGGAGCTTAGCAACCAGGAGCAGACTATTAAGGAGGCGGGGCTGGTTAACGCGGTTGTCGTCCAGAAGTGGACTTAATAATTTCAACGGAGAGATTTTGGAGGAATAATCTTTGAGAATTTCGGGGTTTTTCTTCTTTCTTTTTCTGGGGAGGTTTTGTCCTTTGAGGGGTGGGTGGGGTAGCGAAGCTAGGTTCTGGTATACTGGCGCTTGGCTGCTACTTACTACACACGCGGGCATAATTATACTACTTACTCTTTTCTCTCTGAATTTCTTGCTTTTCCGATATCGGAACTAAAGGGGACGCACCGGAGTGGAATCCGGAGATCTAAACACACTGTAGAATTGACAATCAGTCTGATCATTGCACAAATACAGGAAGCGGGTAAAGCAAGGGTTAGGGTTGGGCACAGGCTTTAATATCTTAGCGGTCTACATTATATTATTATCATTATCACAGCCATACTACAATAAATCTTGATATATCTACACTCGGGTCCTTTGGGCATATAAGAAGCGCAACTCCATTAATGATAATTATTTTATAGTATCTGAAGCTATATCAGAAGCATAACTACTGTGTACACAATCATTGAGGCTTCGTGAGCACAAAAGAGACAAAAAGCAAACCAACTCCAGGTAGTAAGGTAAAAGGGGGAGGGAGGGAAGGGGAAGGGAAAAGGAAAGAAACTTTGGTACACACAGCCCTCATCTAAACAGCCTCCCTACGCCTGCACCAGGCCCATCACCCCCCGCACCAGGCCCCGCCCCAGCAGCACTCGGCGAGCCACCCCCGACCGCGCCGCGGAAACCCACACTGCCCGCCATCTCCACTCTATACCTCCTCGCCGCCTCCCTGAGATGGTCCGGCAGCAGCGGCCCCTGATCGCCCCACTGCCGCTGGATCTGCAGCGCGAGCTCAATGATCTCGCCCGTGAAGACCTTTGAGAACCCGCAGATCACGGTGCCGACATTGGCCGTAACCGACTGCGAGAGCACCTGGTTGGCCAGCTTCTTGACGGCCGCTTTGTTGAGGTTGGACCGGCGGAATGCTTCGTAGCGGCGGTTCTGGTCCGCGTCGAATGAGTCGAGGAGGATCCTGTGCGCGTCTGTATATTAGAATGTAGAGCCAAGCCAGAGAGAGGTAGGGGGGTGAGCGGTCCATACGCCAGTTTCCGCTTCTCGGCGTCGTCCTCAGCGAAGCCGCCGGCGCTGCCATCCGCGAGGACTGTGGTGGTACCGTAGTCGTCCCGACCGTCGTCCTCGTCGTCATCGTTGTTGTTGTTTGTGGTTTGGCTTGCGGCGGCGCCGCCGGTGGCGGTGAGGACACTGGGGGAGCGGCGGCGATCGATCTCGGATTCGGGGGGAAAGGAGGTCTGGCGGAGGGGGTGGAGGTGCTTGTTTGTTGTGGGGGTGTGGAGGGTGCTGTTTTTGCGCGTGGGGAGTTTGGGCTTCTTGGAGGAGGTGGGGGGGCCTGGGGGCGGGAGGGAGATGCGGCGTTTGTGCGAGGTGGATGGTGTGGTGGAGGGGGGGGAAGAGGCGGGGGGCGAGGACATGGCTGTATGGGTGTGTGTATATGTGTGGTGGTGATGGATTTGGGGTGTTGTGGTGGTGGTGATGAGTGTTGAGTGAGGTTTGGTGACTGAGGCTTGGTGTTGAGTGCTCGTTGTTACTAGCTAGGGCGGTCGCGATTGAAATGCTTGGGATTGTTGGGCGCAGGACGGAAATAGATGAGGCTCAACGAAGCTTCTGAGCATGTTCTGTTCTGTCCTGGCCTGGCCTGGCCTGTACCTACTTCGGTGACATGTAACTCTCTCAGATAGCACACACCTCACTGGTACATCTAGTTAAGTACATGTATCTACCCTATACGCCACAGCCTCGTGCTTAGCTTGGTGAGATGACCTGAGGCCGTGGAAGTGGCATTTGAGATCGGTATCTGCACTTTACGGTGATGATGATACCCCACGTTTTCATTTCTCCAAGCTCGCTTCTTTCCTTCGCGAATTCTTGGCCAATTGGTACCGTTGGTCGCCTCTTGCATTGATTAACGAAGCCAACCTGGTGTGGGTTTAGGTGTTGTGAGCTGTCAAAGTTTGAATTGCATGCAAGATCCCTCTGCTTCAAAGTGTCTTGCAGACATCTCGCTCGTCTGGAATCTCAACGGTGTTCACTATTCAAAGAATCCGATGACAGCAATGTGACTTGAGAATGGATAAAAGGCAGAGTAAGAGCCCTGCTCCGCTTGATAACCTTATTCTCTCCCTTTATTGTCGACCATAGGAGCTTTGACGTTATTAGAAACATTTCAATTCTGACGAATTCCAACATCTGCCCAAGTTTCCAGAATAGCAATTGAATGAAGTATCCATTAGAATGAACGGTAGAAAGTGGGATACTGCGAACTGACATTCTCATTCCAAGACCTTTGGCTATTGTTCAGATACTGGAGACGCACGTGAGCAACTGGAACCGAATTTCTCTGTTCCCTGCGCGGGGAGAATCTCAGATCCCCACAATACACCGCTTCTTATTTTGGGGACAAAAGATCAACTAGATCAGATCCGAAATGCTATCCAGGGGCCCTAATATTTAATTGGTTGACCGTGTAAGGCTAGCTGACGAAGCACTCGCGAATGGAGGGTTTCCGTCTCCACGATAGATTAAGTTTTCGCATGAAGCATCCACCACACCGACTGAAACCCCATCTCGGCCCCCGCGCGACGCTGGAGGGGTGGGAATGCGGCTTTGCGCCGAAAATACTTTCCCCTCCGCCGGGGAAGCCAATATGGGAGGTTCTTATTACTGAACTTGGAATCGTGGTTGGGAAGGGCTATTTTTTTTGCCCCATCCTATGGCTATACCGACAGAGCAGGAGTAGCTCTGAGAAAGGGTTCGCTCACCGACTCCGGTGTACCAGTGATCGTAAGGCGGCGCGGGGAGGGGGGGAGGATTGATGACGGACGGTTATACGGCACGCGATTGGGGAATGGGGTGCAGTAGTGAATGTTACTAATTTTAGTAGCATTTTGATAGACCGCAACAACCAACAGTCGAAATGGGATAGAAACCGATCAAAACAGATATTGCAGAAATGGAAGTTTAGATTGAGAGGTGGGAAAATAGCCATCTTGGTACCAAGATATTCAAGCAATCGCTAAATGCGTGTTAAGCATTGCACAAGACATCTTACAGGTACCCCTACACTACATGTAGCTCCTGTAAGCAGGTACCGGTACCTTCTGCTGCGTGGGTCTGGCGAAGGTTCCAATCGATGTGGTAAGGAAAGAAAGGCCGGGCTCAGACATTGCACAGCCTAATCAGGACAAAGTTTCTCTCGCAATTGTTTACCGAGCAATCTTCACCAATGTGCTTAAAGGTTGTGACTTCTGCCCGTTCTTCTTCTTGCATTCGACACTTTACTTTCATGCCTGAGAAGGAAGGGAATACTACATCTTGACGATAGTCCCTGCTCCCCCTACCTCTTTCTTCCTTTTCTTTTCTCTTTTTTTTCCCCACATTCTTTTAAATCACGTTTTTGTTTTAACCCTTTTTTCAGATCTTCATCTGGTTACACTCTTTTTTTTTTTTTTTTTTTTTTGATATCTTTATATCACCACTTTCTTTAATTTAGAAAATCTCCAGAGTAACAGCACTAGCAGGAATATGCGTTTCTCAGGATTGTCAGCCGGGGCAGCGGCTCTCGCCCTTTCAACACTAGTTAATACAGTAGTTGCAAAAGAGGACCCATGCAGTGTATTCGCCAAAAAGCGAGGAAACAGTAAGTGATCCCCATTCTTAACTATTTATTCCAAACCTGTATTAACAGCCACACCTGCAGGGACTCAAGGCCTAGATGCAAAACTCTGGCTTGCCTGTATCAAGAACGTTCCCTTTAACCAGGACCGCTCGGAAAAGACCATCCTTGGTCTCCGCAGGATGCTTGGACTCCAGAGCAGTGTCGTCTACCATCTTAACCCACCCGCAGAGCTCGAGCTCCAGCCCTTCAATGTCAACAAGACGCTGGACGAGATCGAGCAGAAGGTCAAGAACAAGAGTAACACCTACAAGTCAAACTGGGAGTTCGACTACGACCTCGTGAAGATGTTCTACCGCTTCCGTGACGGACACACCCTCTACGAGCCTGCATGCACGCATGGGTACCAGTACGTCCACCAGTATCCGGTCATTGCCATGGCGGACAACACCACCGGAACACCCGAGATATACCATATCCACAAGAACTACACCACCGGTTCGTGGCAACAGGGTGTGCTGGGTCAGAAGATCTCCAAGATCAATGACATGCCTGCGGCGGACTATATCCGTGATTTCACAAAGAACTCACCAGAATTTTTCTCCTTCGTGGACCCAGATGCACGATGGAACGAGATGATGTACTCTTTGCCTGCCGGTGACAGTAGAGGTCGGTTTGCAAAGCGTCAATTGTGGAATGGCGAGGACATCACCCTTACCTGGGCGAATGGGACAAAGACAAAGGTTGAATGGACACTCACGCTATACCCTACCATGGTAAAGGATGGAAAGTTGAAGTTCAAGGATACCAAGGGTCTGGAGAAGGTATGCTTCTTGTCCAAGAAGGAGATCAAGAAGATCACGCCCCGCAAGCCCAAGAACAAGAAGAAGAAGCCCAAGAAGAAGAAGGTTGTTGCCGCCCCAAAGAAGAAGAAGGCCCCTAAGAAGCCCGAGGGATACCCGCAGTTTGCCCATGTTGGTCCGGAGCACACCATCAACTCCTTCATCCTGCCCAAGGACAAGAAGACTGCCGTTCTCACTATCCGCAAGTTCTCCGTTAAGGCTATGGACGACGATAAATTCATCCTTGCCTTCCAGAAATTCGTCAAGGACTCTATTATCCGCTGGAAGAAGGATGGTGTTGAGCGTCTCATCATTGATGTCACTGGCAATGGTGGCGGTAAGGTTATCCTCCCGTACGATGTCATCACCCAGTTCTTCCCTCAGAAGGCAGCCTTCACCAGCATCAACATGAGGTGGAGTCCTACTACCTGGGCGTACATGAAGTCAATCAGACAAGGCAAGGCCGCGGATATCTTCACTGATATGGACGGCAAAGACTTCAAGAACCAGGCTGATTGGCTCGGCCCACAGCCGGGTCCTCAAGGAGAATACTTCACAAAGAGGTGGAAGCAGGATTACATGCAGCTTGCTGCTGACGACTACAAACTTGATATCACTCACAACACTACGCAACCCTTTAGCCATGAGAATATCATTGTTGTAAGTTCTTTTCCTTCTTAGATTCTTGATTCAGCCATTGATTTCTCGATAGGTCTCCAACGGTATCTGTGCATCTGCCTGCCACTCCTTCGTCGAGGGAATGCAAGAACAAGGTGTCCGCACTGTCGCCTACGGTGGCCGCCCCGACCGTACAAAGCTCATGCAAGCCGTCGGCGGAACTAAGGGTGGCAAGGTTCTTCCTTTCCGCTCTATCATCTCCGGTCTTAAGAAGGGTGTCAAGAATGCTACGCTTGTTGACCGCCCCTTCGAGGAGTGGTTCCCTCCCCCAATCCCCGTCCGTCTCACCGCTGCTACCATCAACTCCGAGAACAAGTTCCGCCGTGGATCAGACACCCCATTGGAGTTCACCATCACCCCCGCCTGCCAGCGCCTTTCCATCACCAGGGAGACCTTCACCGATGTTATGACTTTGTGGCAGCAGGCAAGGGATGCTGCCTGGGATGATAAGGGTGTGCCAAAGAAGTGCATGTCTGCGGCACCCGCTATCCCTGGTCGCCCGACTACTAGCACTACAAAGAAGACAAAGAACCTCCCATTGAAGAACCTTGGAAAGAATAAGAAGACCGCCAAGAAGGTTATCAAGAAGAAGGTCGTTAAGGGAAAGAAGGTCATCAAGAAGGTCACTAACAAGAAGAAGGCCAAGCAAGTCATTGTTGGAACCAAGAGGTACTCGCTCACAAACATCCGCAAGGCTGTCTGGGATCTTCTTACTGCTGCTGGTGTCCGATAAATTCGCCAGCTAGTCTAGTCTTTTTTGTTCTTCCATCCTCTTTACCTTCCTTCTACGGCAGTTAAGATCCGGTCTCATTCCAGCTTCTTTCTGATCATGGACTGAGATGGCTTTCTTCTTTTTTTCTCCTTGTGTTTTGGGTTAGACCTTTTTGGGAGCGGGGGGACAGGCGTCTTGTGATGGATGGGGTATGGGACATTGTTTTTTTTCCTTGGTTCAGCAGGAGTTGCATGCAAAAACGGGCGATTGGGTTTTATGTTTTTTCATTTATTTTCATGTATTGTCTGGGTTTGTTATCCTTTTTGCTGTATGTGTTTTGTATCCTTTTTTTCCTGTTCCTGTCGATTATTATCTAAAGGGCGTTTCTAAACTTTGCTTTTTTTGTGTGTGTGCGCATGTTAGATACCAATTGGGAGTTACATTTAGACTTGACATTCTTTTTCGCCCGGTAGAGATCAGTATCAATGACAATTGTGAAGATATGTACCAATAGACTTGTAACTCCTCCTTACTTTATTACTCAGCCACAATTGACCGGGGTCAAGGACCACCCCCCCCGGCCTCCTATAATTAGAAACTCTCACCGGTGCGGCGTCAAGGTCGGTCAAGTATTATCTTTTGTAGCATACGGCGGTATTTCGGTCGGGGATAGGAATAAGTACATATAACTGATACACTGTGGCGTCTCTCGGTGGAGGCGGTGGGAAGATATTGCAAAGCTACCGGAGGAGTCTATACGCGAGTGATGAGCTGTGATCGAAAGTTACACACAAAGAAACTACAATCTCCTACCTGTTGTGCATCAATTGTAAGTCCCATACACATTTTACAAATCCAGAGGGACAAGATGAACACTCAAGGGGACCGGAATTTTGCAGTTGTATTAGATTTTTGTGAATAACTATGAAAGATCGACCCTCAGAACATTCCTAATGGTATTTTTGAAGAGCAGTAAATACCTAAAATTTCCCTATCGCAAATCAATGGCCTTGACTGAATCTAGTAAGTAGATCTCGTTGCTCAGGCAATGTTGTAAATTTTGTTGCCTGGCTATCTTATCTTCAAGTCTTGGCTACTGACAGCTCCATCATGATCCATCACTCGACTCTCTACATCTATCAACCTCTTCGTGCACTCCACCAACACCCACTCCAAAACACCAGAAGCAAAATTTCCCCACCAAAAAGAAGAAGATCAAAACAACTTCTTGGTTTACCTCCGTGTGTACCACACAAACCCCACCCCCCAAAGCTCCCCCGAAGAAACATTTAAACTCCCTCACTAAAGAGGAGAAGACCCAACAAAGGTCTTGACTTTTTCTCTCTTTCTTTTTTTTCTAATGTATACCAAAGCCATGTCTGTCCCGTACAAGACCCGGTTCTTCAAACGCCAGTACTCCGAAGCCGCTACCTCGCCTTCAGAGAAACCCGATGGTTTTAGCTCGCCGGGAGCTGTAGGGGATGATGGCGGTGTGCGCCTCAGGGATTCCGGGGACGAAAAGGAGGGGGGGGAGGGGGAGGAGCAAGAGGTGGAGAGGGCCCCAACCAGGAAGAAGAGAAAGATCTCTTGTGCGGAAGCTTTGCGCGCGCTCAGGACGATCGAGGTTTACTTTACCCAGGAGGGCCTCGACCCGCAGGAGGAGTTCTTTCCGGACTTCTTGCAGATGCGCGGTGGTATTGTTAGGGCGGGAGCGGAGCAGGCGGGCAGCGTGGGCAAGGAAGGGAAAGTGGAGGTGGAAGAAGAGGAAGAGAGCGATCCCCCGAGCGAAGTTTCCTCCTCCCCTTCCTTTGGGAGTGCGTATTCGGGGGATGAAGACGGTGAGGGTGAGGATTAGAATGAGGTAGGCTTTCAATATTGCTGTATGGTGAGGATAAAGAGAGAGGCTAATAATGTCGGTTTAGGAAGAAGGATTTGATGGGTCCTTGAGGTGCGAATAGGAGATTATGCCTCCATGGTAACGGGACAAGTCAAACGGCGTTCAACCATCTCTTTTGTGTAACTCTTCTCGTGGCTTCAAGGCAAGAGGAAATAAGTCAAAATAAGAAATGTCACAGTTCTGGATACTTGGCCCTTGCATTTAATTTAGTGATAGAGTTCAGTTTCAAACACACATGGAGAAACTTAACTATCAACGTAGTTCCCATTAATTCGCATCGCTACGCTTACCATCTTCGCCCCATGCTAGATCCATCCATTGGAGTGAATCACAGCAACCATTGGGATATCACCGTCATATATATAAGTTTTCTAGACATCGTCGGCATGTAGTTGGGGTCGTGATCGAGCTTGAATTTAACAGGAGCCAAATCTCCAAGGCAGGATAAATTGGAGTTGGGGCCGGGGAAATCGCTGCCTCCATCGATATCGACAGTCCCTATAGGGAGAGCCTTGGTGGAGTATACTCATTAGCACCGCTAGATCTTGTCGCACTTTATTGATGGTATGAGCGAGGATATAAAGAGCCATCAGCAGGGTGTACCTAACTCGTAAGCCCTCTTTACAACCTGCTCCAATTTAAAGCCAGAATAGATGTTCAACAAGCCACATCAACATGTATCAATGTTCCGCACCGATGTTCGCTCCTTGGAAAGTACAGAAGATCTTCTATAATCTCCACACCATGTCTATTTTACATGGCAGGTGAAGAGATGTGGGTGGTCGGAGGGGGGTAAAGTGAGAAGGAAGACCTCATGTAATCCAGTGGTAACTCGATCTCTTCCGTTATAGTTTACGTGCTCGTGTACGGATATATTCATAAATGCAAACTGTTTGGATTAGATGCGAGTTAGAGCGGGTCACAATATGATAATACTGCGCTATCTGGTGTCAGATATTGCCCTTCTCGGAGTAGAGAGCTTCGAGAGGAAGTAACTCCTCTGCTCCTCAAACAACTCCAAGAACAGAATCGATCCACTAACCGGAAGTAACCGGCGATCGCGAGTGATACATGGTGAACATAAATGACACATTACGCGGGGCTGTCTAGTATCTCAAACAGCCGACCTAAACCATTGGGGAAAAAAAATAGTATAATTCAAACCCAATTGTAGCTAAAACACGTACAGTTTGCCACAGGGAGAGGGAAAAAAACCCTGGCAATAAAGAAAAAATACATGGGGGAAACACAAAACAGAAAACGCCCTATAACTCATACCATACCAAAAAGTGTCAATCATGCCCTAGAAAGAAAGTAAAAACCCAATCGCACCGTAATCGTATCATATCATAATTTGTACCTGCTGGCCCCCTCTTTTCTGCGCTACTAGTAAACTAGGTAAACTAGAATAGACAGTGGGTCGCAAAACATTGAGAAGAGCGCACCTATCTCGCAGCTCTTGAAAAAGGGATTCAGGAAAAGCAAACAACAAAAATCAGCCAGCATCAAACAAACGAATCCAACCTTGGCCGTGATTAAAAACGAGCAGAACAAAGGGAAAAAGAAAGGAGCCAAACAGCCCGAGCAAAACCTTAGAACCAGCCTATCCAGCTAGCTAATTCTTGGTGCGCCTACCGCCTGTAGTAGCAGCGCCGATTCCAGTAGTTCTATCCTCCTCCACGCGCTCCTCACTGCCATCGGAGAAGCGCTTTCTCAGGGTGTATGTGGTCCTGGTGACGCCGTCCGGGCCAGTATAGGAGCGCGTTGTCGCTACCGTCTCTACCACCCTCAATTTCCCGTCTTCTTCCGCGGGGGTTGATGTCGAGGTTGTAGTGGAGGAAGATGTAGTAGTTGTCAAAATACCCCTAGCTCCAGCGCCTACCTGTGAAGATGGGGGAGCAAGAACATTGTACGCGTCCAGCTCCGTCTCCTCTCCTCCCTCAATCCTACGCAACAGCCCCAGCTTCCCATCCCGACCATTCCCACACTCCAAAATAATGGCGCTATAGCGGTACCCTTCGCCTCCCTCTTCCCCATCATTCCCGTACCCCAAACATCCCCACCGAGAAACGGTGCCGTGAAGTCACGATGGAGAGTGCGCATCTGTTTCCAGACAAGAGCTAGTTTTTCCTCGTCTTCAGGGCGGAACATGCGTTCGCCGAGAAGGGAGTACTCAACCATTCTGCCACGCGCTGATTGTGATTGTTGACTTTGTGATTCCTCAGTGGTGGAGGTGGAGGTGTTGGGCGTGGGGGTTGGGGCAACAGCAGTGGTTGTGCTGGTGCTGGTGGGACGCGGGGGGGCGTCTTCTTCATCCATGATCCAATTACTAGTTGGAGGAGGTGGCATTGTGGGTAGACCAATCAAGCTGTGAAGCACAGAAGCGATGTGGTGGTCTGTGAAGCGTCGAATGCAGTTGAAGAGGTCAGCCGGTGGGGGCCCTGGTGTTTGCTGAGGTGGTGTGGTAGGGGTTGAGGTGTTGGTGGGTTTGTCGGTATTGTCGGTGGAAGAAGACATGCTGTATTGCTGTAGTTTTGGTTTACCTGTTGAAGGAAGAACCCAAGTTGTGTTTGTTGAAGTTGACTAGGTTGGGGGGTGGGTCGTGTGGTGCTGTCTGTTGTTGTTTTTTGGTTGTTGGAGAAGAAGGGGGCGGACAGTCCCGAGTTTAAAGGTGCCTTTTGCTTGAGTGTAGCCAAGAAAATTGATGTCTCTCAACCCCGGAAAACGTTGAGTGGCGGAGAATTCATCAGGGTCTCCGGAAGTAGAAAAAAAATGGACAAAAGTGTGGGGTGATAGCCAGAAAGTTGCAAGGATTTTAAAGACCACCAGTCATAACAAAGAATCAATGGTCATGGGAGTTATCCGAAGTCCTCAAATGGAGCCTCTGTGGAAACACGAATTCGGAAGCTGAAACGCACCAGTCCGATGGTGAAGTTGGGGCACGATGGGAGTCCTTAATGAATGTAATACCTATGCAGGCAGGCAGGCACAGGCAGAAAAGGGTATGTACACTATTGATACGGAGTACGAGTCTTTTTCTAGTACGTATCTATTGAATACAGTTAGAGTAATTAGTTAGCTGTAGAAGAAAGGCGCGACCGTAGAGCAGTTTAGTTATTCTGCCTCTTGCCATCCTCTGAATCATTTTACCCTCGATATGCACTCCTTGTGCTTCTGCATGTGCATTGAGCATCATCACCAGATGGATGGCCCGGTCACGCATGCGTGATCTCCTCTGAAACACCGTGACCCCCTCCTTCGGCCCCTCTCCGTACGTCATGGCCAGCACACACGCCGGGTAACCCTCCACGCCTGAACCTCAACGCATTCCCGGTGCGCGTATGTACCCCCGCGAAAAGTTACCCCACACGGCCAGTTCCTATCTACATCTGCTACGGTAGCTCTAGTACAACATGACCTCACCGTCGCTCTCCTCCTCATTCGTGGTACCTCCGTCCCCAACCGCGTCCTCCTCGTCCGGCGAAGAGTCCGAGTCGCCAGTGGTCGTGTACCGCCCGCCAACGGTCATCTCACTCGTGAGGACCGCGGCGATAAACCTCATCCTCCCGTTTATCAATGGCCTCATGTTGGGTTTTGGGGAGCTCTTTGCGCACGAACTTGCGTTTAGATGGGGCTGGGGTGGTACTAGGGTATGTGTTTCTCCCGGAGTGTGGTTCGAGGTGTTGTGTTGTGTAGGGCTGACAGTGAAAATAGGTGTTCCCACTACACAGGGCCACAAGAGCGGTAGGGCCGGGTATTGAGGTTAGGGAGAGGAAGAGGACGAGGGATGAATTGGCGGATTTGACCAGCCTCGAGTAGGAATGTCAATCCTTTCTTTTTTTTCTCTTTTTTTTCTCTTTTTTTTTTTTAGCTGTGCATAACTTTTATGAGGGGTTTTTTCTTTTCTTTACGGGGTTTTGAGGGTTTGGTATCCATATTGCTGTGGTTTTTAAATGATATCCAAGGGTAGCCAGCGTCTGGGCTGGCTAGAGTTGTTGGGTTAGTAGATATTTTGGCTCGAGTACATATGTTTGCATGAGCCTTTCGCGGACTTATGAAGGAAGGATTTCTCTTACAGTATCAAGGTTCTTTTTGTTTCAGTCTTTTCCGGTAGAATATAGATACAACGGAGTAAACCTCTGACAAGGCCATAACAACCGAGCCCTTTGGGAATAGTCATTAACCAGCTACGTTTATAATTCCAACCTTTTAGCCCCAGCTGTACCTAGTACTATTGATTTAACTCTGAACCGCCAAGATACTACGGGTGATGTATGTATTCGATGTGAAGCAGTTCAGTAAACTACTATTTAGGCACTCTGGCAGGGGTGTGGTAGATCGAGTGATATACTGTGATCATGATTTCTCATCTTCCCTTCCCTTACCACTTCACAATTCACCTGAAACCCCAGAAAAGCAAACTTCTAGATAGAACCAGTAAACTGCTATAAATCTACTATATAGCAGGTATCTAATAATAATAATAAAAAAAGGATAAGATGAGGTAGTCTCGGAGCTGATGGCCGTAAGGTTTACTAGCGTAGAGTAAGGGCCCGGGTACCGGGCTATATATATATATAAGAGATCGATCAATCACAAATATTAAAAAAAATTTAAATTCCAGATATATACACAGATCTTTGGAGCAGGACAGATAGTAGTGACCCGAGGGGTAATACCCGGGGACTCCCCTATATGTAAATACAAGTACATGTAGTACAGAGGGAAACCGACAACCCGGAGGCTTCGTTCCTGCAAGAGGTGCGTACGGTACCCATAGAATGTAGAAACCGTTCTGGCTTCGAGCCACCCTCATGCGGTATTACATGTACCACTGAAGCTAGCTTAAAAACAAGAGCCGACTCATCTACACACAGTCAAAGGTACCAACGAAATCATTGTCAGCATAGGGGTGGTTGGATGATCTAGCGGTATAGGGGTCTTGCTCTATATATACAAAAAGCTACGATCGCCCGACCCACCTCCGGACGTAGAGTAGGAGATGTAGCAGCACTAGGCTGTGAACCCCTCTCGCTCGCGGGAAAAAATACCTCTTCCTTCCCTTCCTCCCCTTCTATCCTCCTGCAGGCCTGATAAATTTAAAAAAGTTTACTTACTACTTTCCTAGTTGAAGCATAGGAGGTTATGTATGGTTAACAGTTTTCACTGACGTCGTGCGAAGAATCATTGGCGCGTACGCCGTCGGTGGTCGTCACATGACCATCCATCCACCTCTCTTATACGTGCCTACCACAATACATCTCATCTAATGTTTCAGACAGCGAGCTATCTATCGAAAAGACCCACGATGAGCACATCCAAGGGCCAGGGAAGTCTGCTTTACGACGGGGTACCTTATATTCCCGTATGGAGACTTTATCTCAATGGAACTGGCTCACGAAGACACCACCTCTGGAGGCGACGATGCTGTCATCCCGCCCCCGAGAGCACTGATTCTTAGAAACAGGGCAACGTTATTACCGCCGGATGTTTCAAATTCATTTTTGCGGGGACTTCTACAGAGCTCCGCTTGGGGACTTCGTCGGCCTTCTATCATCTCACAGATTAATATAACGAGGCTCATTGGCCACCGGATTATTCGATGATCTCGACTGAAAGTCATCACTCTCAAGGTAGAATCATTAAAAGGGCAATTTATCTCAAGGTATCTTTCCACCCCGCTTCGTGGACTACACAGCCCCTACTGCCGGCTTGGCTCGTTATGGCCGCTAAAGGGCCATCCTCTCAAGGTACATGTAGACTAAAAAAGAGGCAAATATAGCCTCGTGATCGGTTACATCATGGTCATGATCGATTGAAATGTGTGCGAGCTCCAGGTCCTAGGTAATATAAATCAGGAAAAGAGAGGATACAAGACTTAATTTACCCCCCCCCCCCTTTTTTTTTCTTTTTTTTCTTTTTTCTTCACAAAAAGGAGGTTTTTTACCGGACAACAAATTTATGAAGTTCATGACGAACATAACCCAGGACGCGGAATGTGAACAATATGAACCAAAAGAAGCCGCAATAAGAAGGGGGTGCCATCGATGAGGAAGAGATGGATCTAAGGTTAGCTCTTTTCGAAAGAGTTATTCTGCTCTCAGAATTTGGTCTTTTCTCTTTGTTACACACCCGCTTCCAACCTCTCTCTCATAAATTCTGCATAAACCCGTTGGAAGGAAGCCTTCTTATTATCTATTGGGATCAACGGGTATTTTATGTCAGCCCAAGCCATACCCTCAACACTGGGACTATTTACCGGTACCGAGCGATACCTTGTTATCGAAGATATTCACAAAACATACCTACGCAAATTAAAACAATAAGCCGGATTAAGAAGCCTTTGGCGTTTCAATATGGAGGGATTGCCTAAGGACCTGTTGCCCAAGCAAGCTCTCGAGCCAAGCCAGTCCGAGCTTAAGCCAATCTGTTATAAAAATGCAAAGAAATAACGAGCGTGCTATCTAGGCTTGTGAAATCGTTAGTGGCATTGGTTTCGACCTTTACTTTCTACCTAAATACCTCTGGTAGAGTGTTCCATTTGCGTACACTCAGCACTACAAATACGAACGTAATTTAAAGCTGCTCTCATCGATCAAGACGACACAAAATTCCACCTCGGGTTAGGCTCGATTAAGATTCGATGCCACTTTGAATAATCCGAAAGCATTATCTCAGCCTAATGAAATAATAATCTATCGAAGTCACGGAACATCACTAGGCAAACCTCGACTAAAGAACCCAAGCTCGATTGATTAATTATTTCGTTGGATAGACAAGGTCATGCTCAACTAGGTACACCACATTGAAGTGATATTCGAAGAGATATGTAGTCGTGTAAACAGGGCTGAAAAGATGGCCACCAACTGTTCTACCAACATAGCAATTCGCACTTAGCATTGCTTAAACGGATGAGATTTGTCAAATTCGCAACCTGGTCGTGTCACTCCCAAGTTGGAAACCTTTCTATCCCATAATCCGGCGAAAAATGCTGTCCCCCCTAGAAAAAGCAAATTGTGTGTGGCTTTACTAACAGATCTTGTTATCTCTCTTATCAAATAATAGATCTCCCATACAAATTTAACACCTGTATTATCCCTTGGACGGATGAAACTTGTCAAATTCGCGACCTCCCTCTTTCAGCTATCACTAGCATAGTGTGGTAATTGTTGGAAATTTTGATTGGCTCTATTAGATAATTCCTCTACTAAGTGGTGCACGGTCCAGGTCGCGAATTTGACAACTTTCATCCGTCCAAGGGATAGGGGGGCAGCATCGCCGGACTATGGAATAAGCGACGAATTATACTCTCTAATGTAGATTCCACAAAACTATACCGGCTAGCTCGCGTTCCACGAATCGAGTGATAAAGTATGATTCTAACTAGCCACAAGATACCAACTCAAATCTATAGATATCAATTAAATTCTTGTCTGCAAGTCTGCAACGTGCCGTTTGTACCACCCCAACTGCAACAAAAAAAGAAAAGAAATAACAATGTGGGGTACGCTTGGCATTGGTAAGAGGGAAACACAAAGAAACTCAACATGTTGCCACTCTGCAAAAGTGTTCGTGATTCCGATTTCGGAGTGAGACATTTCTCCATATGTAACCGCGGCGGACCATCAAGAACCCCCCAAGAGAAGACTTTCCCAGTGACCAATGGTGCCCAAATTAATGAAGAATAAGATCAATGACCTACCTTCTTTTTATATATAGTCACAAACTATTATATATTTTTCGTTTTGAATCTCAACTTTAATAAATCAGTATTACGGGTACGCCACACATTTAAACCATATCACTGAGTGGCTGTAGGTTACATTCTGCAGCGCTCTATCAGAATATGGGAGGAATTAAAAACGTATGGATATAATCGTTCGTAAGGAAACATCAACTCTTCTCTACCCCTAAAAACTGCGCTGCGCTGGACAGATATCGAACTTGGCTAATACAAATATCTTCTGGACATACTCTAGTGATAGTGCAAAGTATTAAGCCAAGAGGGCACATGCATATGTATGATAGTTCCCACTTCCAAAGGCTTGGAGTTGTGGCATGATCATGCAGCCACAAGCCGAAAAGGACAGGAGAAAAGGGGGGCGATATGACGTAGTCATTGAAATTCATTTTCTTAGAGTAATTGTAATGATGATACATACTTGTAGCAAGCAGAAAATTCATACCAGCATTTTAATTAATCATATAAGGGTCTAAATATCATACATAAAACATGAAACACTGTATACCCAGAACTCCACGGCTCGCCTATGCACTCAGCTCCACTTTTCTACCTGGGATTGAATTATTAGGGAGTTCCATAGTCGGAGGGATTGGGAAGATTTCGAGGTTGTTATCCAGGCCTTAAGCATTCACTTTAGCGCCCATGTATATGCACGACAGATACTCGCCCCAAACATCCGGGGAACTTACCTCTCTGAGAGTAATTGGGTTGATAGTTTTCTACAGCGTAACTAGCGCGTTGTCTCCCTAGAGCCATTTTTTGGAATCTTCCCAGTGCTATAGCACCGACGCATAATGCTGATACATATAAAACGCTAACCACCGTTAGATCTTTCAAAAAACACGCGCAATCAATGCACTCACAGTGTAAACACACTGAAAACAAAGGTTGTTATCAGCATCGGACAGCCTGTGCTATTGGTGTCTCTGTACATATAGTAATCATAATAATATGCGTTACATTCCCCGTAGCTGAGTCCAAAAGCCATTGAAATGCCACTGATGATAACTGCGCCCGTCCAAAATAGAGTGTAGAAGGAGGACATTATGGTGACGTAGATTGGACTAAGCTTGTTATGGGGAATAACGAGGATGTCGACAAACGTGTGTATTATTGAAATGACACATGTGCATATGATGCTGATGCTATGTATGAAGGGTTAAGTTAGCAAACTGGGAGTGTATACATGTATGGATCAATTGCTTACCTCAAAGGGTTGACATATAAATCGTATGTGCCGATGTAGGCGCTGGTAACACCGATATTCACCAGATTGAAGATGAAGAGTAAAATAGTAATTGGGAACATGTTGAGATTTTGCCAACGGATATCGCGACGGGTGTCGGGGAACCTCATGTTTGCTAGCGTAGATGGTTAGAGAGGGGATAAGTTCAACTTTGTTTTCAGCCCGGGTGACTACTCACTATTTGAACACCTACGACCACCAGATCTGAAACTCCATGGCCCAATCAGCCCACGATTGGACCAGTTCGCAACTCGAATAAGAGCTTGGTATTGACAGAGCCCCAACCACCCAACCAAGCCTCCGATTTACGAGAACTCGAACCTGGCGTTGCTTATTCTCTTGGTTTACGACTAGCCACTTAAGATCCAACAAGGCTATGTGGTACATATTTCTTTTTGCGCATGAATTAAGTACTATCGTTTAAGTTTTAACTATTTAACGGGCCCTGGTCCTGGTCTTGGTAGGTGCACATTTGGTCTGATCCGGCCGCGGTCGTTTTACAATAGCTAACGTTAGAGTAGGAAGAGAACCAGACTAAATTAAGGAAGTTGACATCTTAGATAGGTATCAATATCTTTTAGGACCACAGGAATACGGTGACATACCATCGACTTATCCTTGGCAACATAGGGCCCGGGTTGAGACAACTTAAAACCAGTCAGACCTATCAAAATCTCTGATTTATGTCTCACTCGGCCATTATGCCAATAATTAAAATATATTGTGATGCTTGGCTTTTGCCTAGCACATACGTGGAACTGGAACATTGCGCAGCACAGCATGATACCTAATCACATATCATATATCGCAAACGGCCAATAGATCTACAAGAGTGTAGCAGTCTACAGTCGCTCACCTACTGATGGCGGATCCTGTCTGATGGTTCTGTTTGCAGTAATTTGCCCTTGGCGTCCAAAACCTAACTCTTTTACTGGCCTCAAATCCCTGACCGCCATCAGACAGGATCCGCCTTCACCCCGTGAGTGACTGTACCTACCAATTCAAGGGATCTATTGGGTATTTATAACTAAAAAGAAAATATGGGGAGATAAAAATACAAGAACTCAACGTCATACTCCTATCGCGAATCACTCCTAAGACCTCGGAGATAAGACAATCTAGATATATAGAACGATGCAGGGACGAAGGCCTATTCTGTGAACACAGGAGGGCTCATAAGTGGTGATTGAAGATGCTCATTCTTGAATGATGCGTAGGATATGAAGATGGCTTAAGTTACCTGAGTCGGGGACGAGTACAAAAAGCCATGCACCAATTGAATATAAGCAGGCCATGAGGAGATTTATCGGGGTGTCTCCACATTCGACTAACCTAACCTACCCAGACTCGTCAAGGATTTGGCCAGGAACGGAGGGATCTCACAAATATCCGAGAATTGGGGATATGGTGGGATCAAACGCCGGGAATTTTCTTTTTCAAGCTTAAAATTCTAGAAAAGATCCATCTAGGGTAGAAGCCTCCGGGGTGGGGGGGATGGTTCGTCAGCCTTGTCTTCGGAGTCTGGCCGGAGAGGCATGTTTCGGACCTTACAGGCTTGAGCCAATCCCTCGATGCAAGGCACAGATAAGCATCCAGCCTTTGGCCGTGCCCGCATAGATGATATAGGTAACAATGGCTGTGCATGTACACTGGTTAAGCATGTACTATGAAACTCCCTCTATCTCGGGCCCATCCCCAGGTACGGCTTTCTAATCTCCCCACTGCTATATGCGTTATTAATATAGTCACACCATGCGCAGAGGATTGCACACTACATATAGTACATATATGTTTTTCTTGCGGTACCGTTGAGCTGATATTAATCGTCTTATGGGTGTTTATGTTTAGCGGGAAATTGTCAATTTCGGCTCACATACCGAAAGAATGAACTACACACAACCTCCCGGGTTTACCGACGCGACATCTGTTCCCAAAGAACTGCAGGTCATCGCGATACGAACCTGCAAGACAAGGCGTCTTCACACCGAAAACTGGCTAGCTAGAGGCATCCGGAGTCGGAGCTGGAGGCGATGCCACGACGATCCGGACCGGCGCAGCGCGCAAACCCAATCGGCAAGCCGGGGCATAATGAAAAGAAACCACCTCAGGCGACAAACTTGCCACCGCTAACGCAACGTCTAACTGGAGCGCTAATTATACTTGTGCACTTGCCCGTTTCTATTTCGAATTCAACCTTTCTTGGCCCGGCTTGTTGCTCGTAAGGACGGAGAGAAAGTGCACATCTAGCTCTTGGGGTTAAATTTTCTGGGTTACGGGGCCGTGGCATAAGACCTGGTTGATAGGATTGATGCGCACTCGGGGAGAGAGCAGGAGGCGGGGTGATGAGCTTAGTAGATCCCCGGTTCACCGCCGATTCGACGCTGGATAGTAATTCCCACCTGGTCGGGTGTTTGTTCGCCATATATGGCGGGCGCTTGTTATAAGGGGTTTTGTAGGCAAACTGGGAGTTGTGCGAGTTGTGTGCATGGCGCTCTTGTGAACATAGGACTTGTGGACGGGTTGATCATGGTGTATCACTCGGCTGCTGAATATGGAGCAGGGGTCTATTTAATTTGACCAAGCGCGGTTTAGTGATCAATGCAACACGCAACAGCGCGATCTCGCTATAAGGATATGAAAATGTGATAATTTCACATCTATAAATATTATTATAAAGGGGTTATCGATCCTTAGAAGAAATTCCCCCGTCCGCCCGAAATGGTCCTTGTGTGGCCCGAGATGCATATCCTTATAGGCCGGATGTCCTTATATAGGTGGCGTCACATGTATATCCTTATAGCGAGATTGTACATACAGCGACGGCAACATGGATAAAATGACTACCGAAGTCTTTGGCAATGCCGTACCACTATGGTAACACTACCGTATAATTCATTAAAAATTACAGAGATAAAGCGGCATATTCTCACAATACCGTACTGATTCGGCATCAGTTTTATCCTCATTTCTGATACTGTACTGTATGAGACGCAGTCCCGTCTTGAGATGAATCGAATCAGTCGAAAAGAGATTGAGCTCCGCGAATCGAACTGAACATTTAGCTGTGCTTACTGCGAGAATAAGCTTCCGTCGGTGCACCACTTTTGGGTTTCGGCCCCGTTATCAAGAATTGGTAGAAACCTATTCAAGAATGAAGCCGATATGCCAGGCTACAGGGTATTTCCGACAACTTACTCGGCTTCACAGTCAAAAGGGACTCTACTCTGGTTCCTCGAGCTGCAAGGCGAACCCCCAAACCCTGATTCAATTCTCCATGCTAAAAAAAACAGCACGAAAACAAATAAACCCCCCCAAAAGAATTCAACAGTAATATTAACATACAAAAGAAAAAGCAGAAAACCAATAGCCGACCAACTACGACTTGATGTACTTGTACGGGTTCATGATACCCTTAGGATCAAACAGGTCCTTCAGCGACTTCATAACCTTGAGCTCCGTCTCGCCCCTCGAGTACCCCACAAACTCCCTCTTCGCCACGCCGAGCCCATGCTCCGCACTGACGCTGCCCCGCACCTTCTGGATCCACTCATACACGAACGGCTCCAGCACCTTCTCCACCCTCTTATCGTACGCCCTCACCGCCACGTTCAGATGCAGATTCGAGTCCCCAATATGCCCATACCCCGTCACGGCAATGACCGGAAACTCGGCGGGCGTCTCCGCCGCCGCCCGATCCGTCTCCGACAGCAGCCCCTCCTCCACCATCCTCGCCCGCACATCACGTACCAGGTCATATAGCTGCGGCAGCGGGATCGACACATCATACTTATACACCCCTCCCCAATGCCCCAGCACCTCCGGGATGCCCTCGCGCCACCCCCACAGCGCCCGCGCCTGCGTCTCGTCCTGCGCCAGCACGCCATCGCTCACAACACCCTCCTCCATCACATGCTCGAGGAACGCCTCGAGCTTCGCGTCGTCGTGCTCCTTGTTGCTCCCGCTCGTCTCAATCAGCACATAATACGGCGTCGCCTCCCCCTCCAGCGGCCGCCGCTTCCCCGTCACCTCCGCGACCAGCTCCTGCGAGCGCCCATCCATCATCTCGAACGCGCTCAGGATCTCGGACAGCTCCGTCTTTGCCATCGTGAACGCGCGCTGCACGGCCTCATACGAGTCGAGGGCGAAGAAGGCGACGTTCGTCGCCGCGGGGCGCTGCGGGCACAGTATGCTGACCCCCGTGATGATGCCCAGCGTGCCCTCGCTGCCGATAAACAGCTGCTTCAGGTCGTAGCCCGTGTTGTTCTTCCGCAGCGTGCTGAGGTCGTCGAGGACCGTGCCGTCGGGGAGGACGGCCTCGACGCCGAGGACGCTGCCGTGCAGGGAGCCGTAGCGGAGGAGACGGAGGCCGCCGGCGTTGGTGGCGACGTTGCCGCCGATGTGGCAGGAGCCCTTTGCGCCGAGGTCGAGCGGGAAGAGGTGCGACTGCTGCGCGAGGTACTGGTCGGCGACTTCGAGGATGACGCCGGCGTCGGCGGTGAGCACGCCCGAGACGGCGTCGAAGGAGCGGATCTTGTTGAGGGCGGAGAGGTTGATGACGATTTCGTCAAAGATGGGGACGGAGCCGCCGACGAGGCCGGTGTTGCCGCCCTGCGGGACGACGGCGAGGGCGCGGGCGTGGCAGTAGGTGAGGATTTGCGAGACTTGGTGCGTGCTGGTGGGCTTGAGGACGAGGGTGGTTTGGCCGCGGTATTTGCGCATCCAGTCGGTGTTGAAGGGGTCGAGGTCGGAGGCGGTGTGGCCGGTGGAGGGGGAGAGGACGGGGCAGATGGACTGGAAGTGGGCGATGTCGTCGGCGGTGATGGTGGAGAACTTGGGGTTGCGGGCGATGTGCGGGTATCTGTAAGGGGGGGGGGGGTCAATTGCTGTCTCGGAGCAGAGGTGGGGGGAACACTTACGATTCGGCGGTGAGACGCACTTCCTTGCCCTTTGCGGAGCTCTTGGTGGCCGTGGCGGTGGTCGCGGGGCGCTCGTGGGCCTCTGTTGTTGCGGCGCGGCGGGAGGAGTGTGTGCAGAGGGTGGGGAGGGCTGTGGCGGGGCGGGCGAAGCGTGGGCGGGCGACGGCGGTGGTGAGGCCGCGGCGGAGGATGCGGGTTGTGTTCATAGTGACTGTCTGTTGGGAGCAATTGCAATTTTGTGTCTCTATATCTATAATGAGTGTGTGTGTGTGTGTGGGAGAGAGTGGGTATCGTCCCTCGAACGTGCGTAGGGAAAGGGAGAGAGAGAGAGAGAGAGAGAGAGGAGAGCTGTGTTATATATCGTGAGCACTGAGCACCCTGAAGATTCTGCAGAGCTTTCCCTGACTTGGAGGTGGGGCGGCGATCACGTAATGGGATGAGGGTCAGGGTTGGGGTTGGGGGGGGTTGGTGGGGTTGAGTCTAGAGCAGAGCAGAGCAGAGCAGTGGGGATTGTCTGCAGACATCTCTTGAAGCTGTTATTCGTTCAATTCTCTCGATTCTTTGTGTTCTTCTAGTACAGCTCTCGAGATGCAAATACAGATATCCAGTAGTATTCCGCTCCAATTAATTATCCTCATATCCCAAGTGCTAGTATTAGCCAGCTGACTCAGCACTGCAGCATGGCAACACAAAGGCCTTGTGGCGGGGCAGCAGCCAACCAGTTCAGTCCAACGTCGAAGCTCTCCCCCCACCACCACCACAACCACCACCATCACCACAACCACAAACTATCACCATCATCATCATCATCAACCTCCATCAACCTCCATCAACACAGAATTCCTCTCTCCTAGTAGCTGACCCATCCCGCCCCCCACCACAATCATGGGTTCCTACGATAGAGCTCTCAGCGGTAAGCAGCCCATCATCATCCCCGCACCCCCGTCTCCCTTCCCCGAGCTCTAGCTAACTATCTACTACAGTCTTCAGGTACCACCCCCACCACCTCCCCGCATAGATAGATAGCCCCCCAACAGCAGCAGCACCACTAACCCCCACCACCACCCCACAGTCCCGACGGCCACGTCTTCCAAGTCGAATACGCCCTCGAAGCCGTCAAACGCGGCACCTGCGCCGTCGGCGTCAAAGGCGCCTCCATCGTGGTCCTCGGCTGCGAGAAGCGCTCCGCAATGAAGCTGCAGGACACCCGCATCACGCCCTCCAAGATCGGCCTCGTCGACAACCACGTCTGCCTCGCCTTTGCCGGCCTCAACGCGGATGCTAGAATCCTCGTTGACCGCGCCCGCCTGGAGGCCCAGAGTCATCGTTTGACTGTAGAGGACCCGGTGACTATCGAGTACATCACAAAGTATGTGGCGGGCGTGCAGCAGCGCTATACGCAGAGTGGGGGCGTGAGGCCGTTTGGGATTAGTACGCTCATTATTGGGTTTGATCCGAATGATAAGGTGCCGAGGTTGTATCAGACGGAGCCGAGTGGGATTTATAGTGCTTGGTAAGGGTTCTTCTCTTTCTGGTGATGTTGGGGGTGAGGTGTGGGGATGGGGTGTTAATGGGAGAGGGTACTGTAGGAAGGCAAACGCAATCGGCCGCTCCTCAAAGACGGTGCGCGAGTTCCTGGAGCGCAACTACAAGGAAGACATGGACCGCGAGGAGACCATCAAGTTGACTGTCAAGTCGCTCCTTGAGGTTGTCCAGACGGGCGCAAAGAACATTGAGATTGCAATCATGGAGCCTGGGAAGGAGATGGAGGTTTGTCCCGCCCCCGCTCTCTTAGTACTGTTACACTATCACCGGTGACTGCTGGCTGACAAGGGCATAGATGATGTCGGTCGAGGCGATCGAGACTTACGTCAAGGACATCGAGAAGGAAAAGCAGGAGGAGGCGGCCCGGAAAAAGACCCGTGGGGGCGGAAGCGGCGGACAGGCGGGTGGTGCGACGTCGGCGTCGTCGTCGTAGATTGTATACCAGCGGAGGTGAAAAAATACATGAGCTTTTTTTAGTTCTTCTTGTTCTGGTAGCGGAATGATTGGGCCGTTTAAACAAGTATAAAAAAAAAGTAATGGATGCATCCGTTGTCATCATCAAGTGTGCTATTGTGGTGTGGTAGTGGTATTATTTTCATGAAAAGTTCACTCTATCGCGAAAGAATAGTTTTAAAAAAGTAGAAAAAAGAAACATAAAACATTAAAAACAAAACACGATACGCCCCCCCCCCCCCCAGAACGAACCGAGAATTGATATCCCTACCCTACCCTACCCTACCCAAGCCGGCTCACCATGTCGTCCTCCGTCAGGAACCCACGCTTGTCTTCGTCTTTTACACGGTCGTCCTTGACCATCCTGTTTGTTCGCCGCCCACAATTAGCACTCCATCCACCCCCCAATCTCCCATCGCGCCTAACCCCCAAGTAATCTTGTCTTGTCTGCAGAGAGAGAGAGAGAGAGAGAGATGTGCCCCGTACCTAGAGTTCTTCCTAATATCATCACCCTCAATCCGCAGCGCGGCCTGCGGCGTCTTGGCCTCAATCACGAAATGGTTATCGCAATGCGGGCAATACTCGTCACTACCCCACACACCCCCCCCGCTCCGCATTAGTCTCTCTCGCGGTGTTTCCCCCCCCTTCCCGGGGGGAAAGCGCTGCGCGCACGCACTCACCTCTCGTCCCACACACTCGTATCCTTTCGAAAGCACTTTTTGCACTTTTTGCAGGCGAAAACCATCTCGATGCGCTGCAGCAGACGGTGCTCCTCGGCCTCGGCGTGGCACTCGGCGCAGTCGAACCATTTTTGGCAGCAGGGGGAGCGGATGGAGACTTGGGCGTTGAGGACGTGTTTGCTGTTTTTGTGCTGTTAGCTTTTTGGGTTGGGGTGGGATGGGGATAGAGATTGGGGGGGGGGGGGGGGGAGGGACGTACCACATGGTGAGCTTCGCAGGAGGGGGTTGTTGAGCTGGAGATGTTGGGGGGAGTTGTGGGATGGGATGGGTTGGGATGGGATGAAGCTGTGAATACTCGTTGGAAGGGAGTTGGCGTCGTTAGGGAGAGGTGGTGCCAAGAACGGGTGTTGCCACTGCAGGGCTAGGGTTGGGAAGCAGGCTAGGCTGTGTTCGGTTGTGGGGGTAATGATCGATTAGTTGGTTTTTTGGACAGTGGTGCTTTTTGTGGTAATGATACAGATTTTACGTTGTTTGGACGTTGGATATAGGGGATAGATGATAGAGGAGTGGGTAACGTATATTATATTCGGGGATTGGAATTGAGAGGGGTGTTAGATCTTAGATGTATCTTCCTCTTTCTACTCTGGTGGCCTGGCCGGGAGTAGATGGGATGAAAGGACTTCGGAGCTGGGGTTGAAGTATTGAATACGGACGTAGATGAGACGTGACATTGTTCGATTTTGGCTACGAGCTGGCGTGACGTATGTGTTGTTTCTGGGCGCAAATGCTCGGCGGTCGACTGCGAATCTGCCCAAGGTCGTGACCACTCGACCCAAGTCACGCCCAGAAGCCAAGATCCGACTCGATGTCTTGACAAGAGGGCTGTCCCTCAGCTGGAACATCCCACTCCAACCCACTCACACACATTCTCTCTCCGTCTTCAATAACATCACGAAATACAAAACACAAAACACAAAAGAAACATCTCTGTACATTCACCAACCCAAAACCCCCCGCCTCAGCCAAATCCACCATGACCGAACCCACCACCACCGCCCCAACGTTCTACCTCGCCCTCGGCTTCCGCCTCCCAGCCCCACACGGGTTCAAAGACCTCGTGAAGACCATCCTCTGGTTCATGCAGCGCAAGGGCCTCACCACCCTCAACCACCACGACAGCGCCCTCTCCTACACGGGCCAATTCCGCAACATCACCCTGCGCACCTACAAGGCCATCACCAAGGAGCTCCCCCCGCCCACCACCGACGGCAGTACCCGCATCGACTACCACCGCCGCTCGCAGCTCCTCCTCGTCACCCTCCGTGGCGAGCTGCACATCCGCATCATCCGCGCCGCATGCATTGCCATCCCGACCATGCTGTTCGAACAGGGCTTCTTCGACGACAGCGGCGCCCTCAGCATCATCGCAACAAATAGCCTAAGGGGAAAGACGTGCCATGGGGAGGCGGGGGATATGCCGCACATCGACCCGGACTGTAGTGTCCGCCTTGAGGGCATGAAGGCCCCATTCGTGTATGTCGAGGTGGATAGTAGTGATGTGGCGAACACGTTTTCGCGCCGCTGTGGGAGGTTGAAGGCGCATACGCTGCTGCTGGGACGGAATGGAATGCCGCGGCCGAGGTTTGTGGTTGTGGTGAATCTGGTGAGGAGGGCGCGCGGTGGGAAGGAGGATGGGGATGGGGATGGGGATGGGGATGGGGAGAAGGGCGACGACCCGTATGAGGAGAGGTATCCGTATGTGAGTGTGAGGGTGGCGGTGCTGTCGACGAAGCTGGTACCGATCCCCGAGACGGATAGGATGAAGATGGAGGTTGTGACGGTGATGCAGACGGTCGAGGTGTGGCCGAAGGTGCCAGAGGTGGGGGAGGGGGCAGAGGGCGTGTGGGCGTTGACGTGGGAGGATATGAAGGTGAAGTGCTATCCGGGGAGGTTGAGGGATAAGGTCTTTGTGGTGGACTGGAGGTGGCTGCATGAGTGTGTGAAGGGGTTTGAGCGCCATACGGAAAGTTGTGGGTGTGAGGGGTGTAAACCGAAGGCGGCGGCAGAGACGGACGGAGGGGAGGAGGAGGTCTGAGGTTGGGGGATCGTGGAGTAGGGTGTGTGATGGCTCTTGTGGTTTCTTTGCATGAGGTGCTGTGGTGTAGGTGTTACAACCACAGATAGTGTCTTTTCTTCAATGAGTAGCTGTATTCCACTGATCGATATCATGATATACCTCTTCTATTCTCTCTTTGGGTGTTTAGTTTTTTTTAGTTTTTTTTTTTTTTGCATCGTTATGGGGGTTAATTGCATCTAATCTTAATCTTAATCTGTAAAGCTACTCTCTGTATTTTTCTCTTCTTGTAATTGAAACCCAACTTATAATCAACTTTTCTCGTCTTTATTTTCTGCTAGTTAATTGAGCTGTCGCTGACCACAGCTGAGCCGCAGAATGGAAGAGGGGGAAAGGATCAAAGACAACTAAACCGTGGCATGACCATAACTCACCCACGCAAAAGCAGCACCAAACAGCAAACCAGCGTAACAGAGTACAGAAATGTCTCATCTTGCTGACGAGATCGGTGTAACGGGATCAAACCGTCACTGCGGGGTGGAGATATTTTCTTTGCGGTGTCACAGGAGGCGAGTGATATCTCATGAAGGAGAAATATTCTTACAGCCGTGGGGCAATGTGGTTTAGAAGGTTATATTGAGTTTATAGGTGTTTGCTTTGGGGTTTGCTAACACAGTCACTGGGTTTGAAGACCCTCTTAGTTTCTTTTCTTTCCGGTGTCTTTTAATCTTGCAATTGCCATGGGGTGACATTGGTTTGTCGTCCCAGCTCCACCAGTGACCAGCCAATTGCGATATAGCACCACAGGCTTACTCCTGTTTGGTTTGCACTTAATTACCCACTTACCGTGTGCGTAGTGTAGCGCCGGCAAGTCCTCATAAGTCGGATGACATATAAACATGTGGCAATATTAGTTACGTTTCTTTATACGCATGCTCAGCCTTGTGTTGTTGCAGAGCTAGAGACTAGCAATCGCTGTGGATGGCTCAATACTAAAGGTCTTGTGAACAACTCGCAATCGGTAGACAGCGAGAGGGGAAAGAAGGGCGCACAGGGTAGGTATGTATGTGATACAAAGTGTAAGTGCAACGGCCGCCGGTGCATGTACCTTCCCGCCGGAAGAACATTTCAACGGTATATTGTGCGAAGACACAACCACAGCTTGTTCCGATTGGCTGGCGATGCGGGGGGGAAACGTTCTTCCACGAATGTCAGCTGGAGTACCGCCCATGGGGGGACGTACGGGAGGGAGGGGGAAGCGTTATGGTAAGTGTTACGTGCGCGCGGTATCGATGTAGTGCATGGGTGAGGGCGTTGTTTGGGGAGAAGGGTAGTGTTTGATTGAACCAACGTTATCAGCCGTTATCGCGAGATCCGAGTGGTTGCGAAGGGAGGACGTGGGGGATATAAAAGATGCTTGATATGGGGCGTGTCTTCTATTCCTCTTCTGCTTCTGCTCTTTCTTCTTGCTCAGTAAGAAGAAACAAAAGCTAGCTACTTAGGCTAGAGCTATAGCAGAACGCTGTCTTTCCGGCCATTCTGAACCACTCAACCAACAAAAACACTTGCGGTGGGAGAAAAACACATTAAACCTTCGGTCTCTCTCTTGGAATGTGTGTGTGGACACTTGTGAGTTGGATATCTTGCGGGTGTTGTTATTTGGGATTGATCGGTGCTGACTTATAGATTCTAGTATAAGAACATTATAGTTAAACACAACCATCAATTGTTTGGGGCGTTCGATGACGATAAAAGAGGTCCCAAAGACCAACCTACATATAACTATGTATATCCGGGCCACCCCGAGTTGTTCAACTTAAACTCGACTCCATCTCGATCTGCAGAGGCTATACCCGATACAAATGTAAATGTTAATGCCCGCCCGACAAAAAGCCGAGTCCATCTCAATCGATAGAGAGGCCCGTTTGGCATTAAAGCGGACTTCATCTCCATCGGTAGTATAGACTCCATCTCAATCGGCAACGACTGCTGTCCGGTTTCGATTATAGCTAATGCTATCTTCTGGCCTGTGCGCTGGGATACGTCACAACAAACCTCACCGTCCCCTCTCTACCACGACCCCCCGCGCTGTTGTTGTACATGCGTGGACTTAATAACCTGGTGGAATTCCTCAAACTTCATAACACCCTAGCCGAAGAGTTCATGTGGTCGTGGTTGGTAGATCTACTGTCTTATAAGTCCTTTAAGTTACTAGTGGGAATAGCTAGATGAATGGGAAGACTGGGGACTGGGAATGCAAGACAATGAACTACAACCTATCCCGGGATATGACTGGCAGAGCGACGACGAACTAATTCAACTTCTACAGGCCGCGCTGGAGGGTTCCCGCAGCGCACTGGGGAAGTAGGACCGGAAGAACGCAATACAGTTGTTGGCCCGGAGGAGGGTTCCGGGGGTGAGGAAGCACGACCCGAAGAATGCAGGGGGAGTTATTCGGCCTGCCTATGTCAATCAAACCTAAAATATTCTTCCGCTGGGAGTAGTTGAAGCCGTTGGAAGACGAGGGCTGGGAAGGAGGCCCTTATGAATTTCCCGAAGATTCGGGTGAATCAGAGGACTTAGAGAAAACCGAGGAGGCTATATATGGTATCCTATGACTTGAATACGGCCAATCAACAGACCGCGCGCCACATATCCTCCAGTGTGGCCTCTAGATCGAGTTAACACATTCTTCAATATCAAGCCGCGCCCACGGCCGCTTTCTCACTCGCAATTAATGCCATCTTCCTCGGCGGCTACCCCTGATGGTGCCTATGTCCCATACACCCGGCACACATAACAATCGAATAGTTGAGAGCGGTGCCTTTATCAGTTGCCACTCAAGATGATGTGAAGACATAATTGAACCCAGTTGTGAATACTAGCCACTGCGAAATGTATTCAGACAGGCACGCTCGTGCGGTGTTGCATCTACATCGACCTATTCATGCGCCGTGGGAGATGGATGGGATGTGTGGTCGTCATACCGGTTAGGGAGTTTTGAACGTGTGTAAGGGTGGAGGGTTGGGTTATATATTGATTGGTGTTGGGGTTGATGTTGGGGGGCGTTAATATCATACAGCGCACACATGAGCCCGCCACCATATATATATGAGAGTCAACATTGAGGGCGCTACCACTATCGCAGTCCTGGACTGTGACTCCACCGGGGGTTCTCCTGCAGATAATAACGTTTTCTAGGGTCTCTATCTATAGACTCAGGATCCTCAACCGGCATGGAGCGGCACCAATATGCACTATCCGTGAACTCACCACCCCCACCTACTTATATTGTATCCTGGCGGCGGCGGAGGAGTTCTGAAACATGAATTCTGTTCCGGGGTGGGCACGGGCACGATATACTGCTTAGACTGAAGCTGAGCTGCCCACGATGCATGAGGGTAAACTCTTAACCTGCCGCTTTCAGATAGCTCAGGCTTCGAAAACAGAGCTTATCGATGAAGGTAATTAAGAGCTTTACGATGCGCCTCAAGTGGGGCGTCCATCGAGGCCTAACAGGACGGATGAATAAATCAATCAATCAATCATGATCAACCAACAAACATCCGGACTACCAGGAGCACCACAGAAAGCCATGAAGATATAATAGCTACGATGTCACATATCAATTGGACATCTAGTCCGGAACAAAGTCCAATCACCTAAGGGCCCAAGACATATGCGCTTCCTCCATTCGTGTCAGACGGAGCGCCCAGCCGCCGTGGTCAGGGCTGCCGCTGGTCGTATGGAATGCCGAGGAGTGAGAAGTTCACCGCCAAAGAGAGAGAGGAGAGAAATCCGACGCCTTCCACACCCCCGAAGTATGGGGGGTTGGTGTGCCTCTTCATTGCTGGTAAGGGACGAACAGTCATGGCTGGCCAGGTCATGTCGCCGGGTACTCCTTCCAGATCGTCCATATCCTCGTCACTAGTATCGGAATCATAATCATACGTTCCCCCCTCCAGAAATTCCTCCCGAGTACATCTCTACGATCTGTACTAGACCCATCTTCTGCTCCGTCTTCGTTTGCGTCTGGCTCGGTTTCTTCATCTTTATCCATCTCATCCTCATGTATCTCGATGTCCGAGTCGTCAACCCCAACCCCCCCCCCCCACCATCCTTCTCCTCGCCGCCGCTTCACTCATCATGTTCAGACCGGCCCGCGCCGTCGCAGCTCTCGTACCTTGCAATTGCCGCTCTTTAAAATTCTTCTTCGGGCTAGGTATAAAAGCTTCGAGACGCGGATTAGTGCACCGAAAACACGATATGGGTATAAACCCCGCCAATATCTCGACCTTATGCTATATGGAGGTGGGGATACAGTTACAGATCTCCTCGTCGCCATGCCCGGAGTGTTTGGGGAAAGCTCTGGTGCAGAAATCAGCCATCAAGCGAGCGGAATCCGGTATACAATATTACTTCGTTTAAAAGTTACAGAACTATTGCTTATCATTGGCATTTCCCCAAACACGAGGAGTCAGAGAATTTCCCCCCGGAACTGGAGGATATAGATACTATACAGATCCACATCCTCAAGAAGTTCGATCCAAACATATCCTTACTCGTATGAAGACCAAAAAGAACGGGCCAGGACTTGACGCGTGTCGATATTAATTATCCAATTGCTCCTCCGGAATTAGGAAAGCCGCCAGACAAAGCGTGACATTTCACCGAGGAATTCTTCACGGACCAACAGCTCATCCTCCCGCCGTATGGCACTTCTCACCACCCACCTCAGCCACCGTTATTCTGCGGCCAGAAGCCAGAGGTTTCCACCTATCATCACCGCCCAGGTGCTGTTCAGCAAATAGGAACTTTTGTGCTACTCCGCCCTCATCGCCGGCATCAGCGCCGGCGCTGCCGTAGCTATAGTTGCCGCAATCATTACCGCCTTATTCTTCCACCTACGGCGGCGGAACCGGTATGCAGTGAGCAAAACCACAATGCTCAAACGCGAGATTCGGAGGACGGTCCCGATCGATATCAACTTCCAATGAGGGCGGAGAGTTGGCAGACCACTT